CAATGTTACAATGGCGCTCTTGTTATGAACGGATAATTTAATGCGATGCAAGCATGTATTGCCGAACATTAGCCTAAAGTCATTTATGGCATTGTCTGTCACACTGCTTACACTTTGCAATCTCAGATTCTTGACATGTCCAAGATATCAAAATTTGTTTTGGGATAAATGAAAAGACACATTCATTGCTTCACACATAAAAAAGACAAGATGTTTTAGCAAAGATGCTTGATGAGTTTTTATTCGAATTAAAAAAAAATTGCATTTAAAGAAACTGTGCCCCACAAGAAGGGTGGAGAGGCATGACTCTATAATAATTTGCGTTGACCTTTTGGATGCTGCATGCGAAGGTTTGGATAAAGTTTGTTATTGCACCAACTCGACGCATCGACTGGTGCCATTGGATTAATCAACTTCATGCGCACTGTGAAATTTATGGTTTTCCTTTTCGTCAGCGAATTAGTATTTATTAGATATATTTTATTAAGTAGATGCCTATACAAAGAAGATATGGATTTGGCTGCTACGATAAAATACACCCAAATGCTTCAAGATCAATTGATGGACATTAGCAAAAATACAGATGATCAATTTGAGACATTTGTTTCTAAAGCAAGAGCAATGTGTGAGAAACGAAGGATGATAAACATTATTCAGAGAACAAATAAACGATAAATCGAACTGTACAACGTAGATATTATTTCCAGCTTTCTCCCATTTTTGGATGCCTTGATTAAAGTAATTCTGAATAAGATTTTAGTTCATAAAGATATTCTATAATCATTTTGCTGTTTGGTATCTAACTTAGCAAACCTCGCCGATTTCTATATATTGGTCAGATTTTATGATTTTGACCTGCTTAAAAATGGTGCGTTCAACACCAAGCACCTGCTGAATATTTACTAATGGCAAATGAATGAATTTCCAGACACCAAATCTTCCTTTACCGAAATGATAAAAAGATGTGAAAAGGGGATTTTTCCCAACATACGCGTGTTTTTTAGTTGCAGCAATGGTAACAACAACAACTCCAGAGGGAAGCTACAATACCTTAACAAGATTAATTATTTAAAAAAATACAACAGAGGGAAAATAAACTTACCGCCCTGCCAATTATCAGAATATCATATATAATATCATATCATAATATAAACATAAATGTTAATAAACTGCTCAATAAGTTAGGCCAAATGAGCCATAATATGAATATTACCTTAAGTTTGCTGCCATTTTCTAACTTGTTCAGTTTAATGTTTGATATAAATGTATTTTTTTGTAACGTTTAATAATAAACAAAAACTGATACTATTTTTATATCTATGCTATTATTATCAGGTCTTTAAAATATCACTTAAATTTTCAGTTAGCTTAAGCACCTGATATATGAATTTATAATACAGAATTCATGATAATAGATTAAGAAAACACCTTCCTTAACTCCAGTAAAATTTGGAAATTTCACGTCTATATAAAAGTTTTATGATCTCAACTATCTTGACCAAAATCCTGGATTCGCCACTGTTTGGTAATCATGTAATATGCGAACTACCACTTTTAGTTCATTATTTATTTTCTAGATGGCACCACTAAAACACTATTTTTAAACTCGAACGTGGAATAAAATGGCGGGGAAATGATTAAAACAACAAACAAAAAGTGTTGCTATATAAAATATAAATAAGAAACTAAAAGCGGTAAAACGTATAATACAAGATTATTAAAAATTTATATATTTACAATATTTAGAAAACAGATTGGTTCGAATAATGGTGCTACTTAAAATTTTGAATAAAACAATGAAAATGTATGATAATATAATTTGCAGGAAAACTAAGCAAGTAAATGATAAAAATAAATTGAAAATGCCAAATCGAAATTTCTGTTTAACTCAGTTAAAAACGTTTAATAATATCTCAGATGTTTCGGAATATTTACGTATTACTCAATATTAAAATAAATCAAGAAAAGAATAATTTTGACCACCTTTGATCCAAAGCCTGGAAATGTACAACATTACAAACATTATATTTTATTGAATGTAGGTATACGGAAGACAAAAGTACAACGATATTTGTATTTTTGTGATAATGCTTTTCAATAAACATGCACTAATATACCTACAAACAGGCAGGAGAGATTCGATACTAACTTCATACTTAAAATACATAACTTTTTCTTCTTCCTTCTTGTATACGCACATATGTGTTCATAAATATATATACAAGTTTTTCAGCTTTATTTGACATCTCGTATATTCAAAAACTTTACATATATATATTCACAGTACATCAACTTTCATGCTCGCTTAAACATTTACATTCATATCATTTGTAAAAATATTGCGAACATTACATTTGTAGTAGTAACGGTTTTGTAGCTCTTCATTCCAGCTGGCATAAATAGATACACCTAATATCGAGAAATATCTAACTAATACGCAACTATCATGCTTTTGAATTTGAAAAATACATCAGTAAATTCTCGCTAATACATCACTTGGGTGAGTAAAGTGAATATTTTTTATTATCGGTTTTAAATAAAATATAAAATGGTGATATATTTAAAACTTAAAAAATGATAAGAAATAATTTTTTAAAATGAACAATGGTGTATATATGTATGTGTGTGTGTATAGTATAAAAATTCAGAATGTAAAAGAATAATTCATTATAAAGTTTTATTATTATGGGTAAGAGGTAGTGCTGTAGTTTTTGTGCTTTTGTAATTTTTATTAGAATTATCTGAAATAAATGACAGAATGAAAATTTAATATTTAGGTTTGAATTACAAAAGGTAACCTACAAAACTGTCTTGCAGGTATCAAAATTCAGATTTCAGATAGAAAATAATAATTTGAATTTTCCCCCTCACGTTGTCATTATTATCATTTATGCATGTTTTGGTAAATATTTAGTCAGCCAAATTTTTAATTTCGATAAAATATTCTTTTAGTTTGGTGACAAGAAATGTTTATTATGTGAAAAAAATATTCTGTGCCGTCAGGTGTTTCTATATCATGCTTTCAGCCGGCATGTAATTTGAGTTTGAGACCACTGCTGTATAGCGATGACAACCAAGAAATTTATAAAACAAATTAATATTTAGCACTACAAATTTAACCAAAAGCGTAATCAGATCAAAAGATCTTGCAATAAAAATAAAACTGTGAAGTTGGAGACCAAATTAGTTGTAAATTTATAATGAAACACAGTTGTTCTTCCATGAATGCATCTCATCTAAAACTCTTAAAGCGAAATAATTACCTATTTACTCTAGTCGTAAATATTTCGGAAATTCAGTGTGAGAGTTTATGAGGCACATTTCTCAACAGGAGTAATGAGTCCTGTGACTAGATTTTATTTAAATAAAATAATTGCAATGGCGTGCCTCTGCTATTTTTGAATTCCATCGACTTTTTAAAAATTTGGATCCTAAAATCACGGACTGCTCTGAAAGAGTTCTATAAGGATAATTTAATTAAGGAATGGTTTAATACTTTTAGGAAATATAATCATAATAAAATAAAATAGTGATGTGTTAACGAGATTTTACTACATTTAAATTACACTTTACCTGAACAGTAATTTTATCCACTTGAAATCACAAAACGTTACGAATAGATTACATTATACACAAAAGAATTTAATACACATATCATCGAATACAAAATACTCCTTCGGCGATATAAAACCTATAGATCCATAAATGTACATAATTTACAGCAATCAAGAGTCAAATTTATGAATGGATGATTTACGGGATTGTTCAAAATTATCATAAAAGTTGTTTAAATTATAAACAACGTTTTGAAATCTACGGTATATTACATTTCCGCAATTATGATATCTGAATTAAAATTTCTAGCTTATCTTATATGTCTGAACATTATCACAGAGAAAACTTTATACATTAAAGATTGAGATTTTTAATTACAAAAATTGAACAAAAATCTCTCACTTACACAAAATTATTGCTCCAAAAATATTAGGTTTACTCCAGTTTATGTAATTATTTAAATATTTATCAAAATAAGTAGTTATAAAGTATATTTTTACTTTGTTTACTGTGGAATAAATTTGTTTCATGTTTAATCAAAACTTTTACAGTATTCACAGTTTTCTTTTAACAAATTTGTACGAATAACTTTATGAAATATTAATAAAAATTTTAAAATTTCAGAAATTTTAATCTGCAAAGTTAAATATTATATAAACTTCAAAATGAAATAAAACGAAAACCCTGCTTAACAGAAAATATATAATTCAGGTATTTACATAAATTTATGTTTTAATTTTGAAACCAAATTTCCTTAAACTTTTGCATAGTCAAAATTTTTAAATTTTACTATGAACACAATTTAATAACTATATGGTTTATGATTGCAACTTTTGTAATAACTGTATGGTTTATAATTACAAATCAGGCAGCATATGAAACAATTACTCTATTCTTATACTATCAGAAACTTACTGCAAAACATATATAAACATTTACTCTAAATATTGATTAGAACGTACTTAAACGTTTATAATTTTTATAAAACATTACAATTTGAAGAGTTTAATTATTTCACAATTACTAACTGAAATGCATGAAAATATTATTTACAAAGTAATGTCTAAGAAAGATTACATAAAAAACTCTACCAAATATAACGTTTTTAATAATACTTCGAAAAACTCAATCTAAATAATTATTTATTTTGTCAAATAAATGTAACTAACTAGAATAACTCGCGTAGGAGTTCGTTGTAAAATTTATAGTTTTATCAAATAATTTTATTTGAAAATTATCTGTAAAAATCTTAGATGCTTTTTCCTTTAGATTAATAATATTTAATATGATTAATGAAATTTATGCTAAATGCTTAAATACATTCTTATTTATATTAAAAGTTTTTATTAACCATTGATTGATACTAGAAACAGGATTTAGTAAGTTTTGTAATAATTATGCAATAGTAGATTACAGTCCGCAGTTCTAAAGAATGAAAACTATTGTGTATATATGTATACATATAAATTTAAAAGTTACTTTGAATTATTAATACAATACTAATAAAATCTGAATATCAAATTGAATCACATGCATTATAGTATTTTAATGAATATTATATAATATCAGAAAAATGAGTTGCAAATATCGTTTGTCAAAATTTATTTTTAAAAAAGAAGATAAAATACGTCATTTGTTAAATAACTATTGCTTGGTAGAAGAAGTTAAAATATTTATTTAATGGCAGCTTTGATATATATATGATAACTTTACATTATTTTGAATAGTATGTTCAAGATTTATTTTATTTAAACTAATACTTCTCTCCGAAACAAAATAAAACGCTTCTGATAATTAATGTGTATAACTTACTGGAATTTAACTGCTCTTTAAAGCGAGTTATAGTCTCCGAATCAACATAGATGGACGCTAACACACCAGAGATAGGATTATATGAAGTGATGTTATATTGACATTTACATGATAAGAATGTTTTTCAGTGTTTCGCCTAATAGAGAATTCTTATAGTCGGAAACTACTTCTTTCTGTCGCTCAACGGAAACAGGCATGCTTTCTCAACAGCGAGATGTATTTTGTGGCAGAATATTCTTCAAAAAGTTGTTCCATTGTCGATTATGCTTCCCTTCAAAATGACCACCTTTTCGAAAATCCTCATTTAAAATGCCTCATCCTCTCGAAAATGGCTGTTCTCGGAGCTAAGACAACAGGAAGAAGAATCCACAATTCTTGCTTCCAGGTGAAATTTCTTTTAGATTTATTGTTTTCATTTGGTCTCGGTTGGGAATTTTCATACCTTTTCGCTAACGAGTTCGGCTGCTGGAGATATACGCGATCCAGGAGAATCTGTGCTCTCGAATTTCATGTAGATATTCTTAATGACAGGACTTTGGTTACTGGTCGACTGGCTGAAGAATCCACCATGTTTTGGCTTCAGGTGTCGATTATTCACTTCCATGTGTACTATTTTCATGAATTCAATTTGGGAAGCTAATTTTTGTACTTCTTCCTAACATAAAAGAAACAAAAATATAAAATTATTATTTCTGCTTGCATTTAGAACCATCAGAGCGTGTTCAAGCAATGGCATAGCTGTAACAACTTGTATAAACCAAACTGCTGTTCTTAGGCAACAAAAATTCGGTTTACATATATGCTTAAGCCATGGAATCTGATAAAAGTTTTGTCTATTGTTTTAATTATCGATCTAATTATTCTATCTGCTGAACTGCCAATAATAAGTTATAATAAGCTACTAATCCCAGATAAATGAATGTGAATTAACATCAGGTCTACGATTTTGCTGAGTAGATTTTACTTCATTACCTCCCTTGACTGGCTACGGCTTAAATCTAGCACCCCGCCTTATGATTATGACGGTGGCGACACCTATTACACAATTTGAAAGTTATCTTATACTAAAATGACTCGAAAACTATGCGCTGCTAACATTTCTTGAAAGGCTGCTTATATTCATGGTTGATGATTGATTTTGTTAGCCAAGTTAAAATTTGTCAAGCTAGGTAATGGAATATATATTTTTATCATAAGACATGACAGAAATAAAGTTTTTTAAATTCCTGACCCAAGGAAAATTTTATTCTCATAGCTCACTAATAAAGCGTAAAAATGTTCAAATTCGAAAATTAATTTGATTTATTAAAATATTCGGAAAGATTTTCCATTAAAAAAGAGAGTTTCTATTATATTTCTGGTGTAAATTGATATTTTGTTTTACGCATCATTTATATTTCTCCATAAATGTTTCGATTAACTTAATATAACATAAGGCACTTTTGCCTTATGTTTTTATTAACATCTTTCTGCGATACGTAATTTAGCTTGATTATCTGTATAGAGGGAAAATGTGCTTTATACTAAATAAAAGAAGTAGAAATGGATGTTGAAGGAGAATATAATATGTGAAAATGATTAGCTAATTCAGTCTGACTTGTCCAACAAAATAAAATACGATTTTCTTAATAGGATAGAGAACATTATTTCCTGATATGTTGAGTTGTTATTGAATTATTGTGTTATTTTTGAATAACTTTAAATTCTCAAATTCTGGTAATAAATGCTTTCGTATTATCTTCAACAATTTTCCTACCCTTTTTTTTTTTACACTGATTATAGCATAACAGAATTATTTCTACAGTTTTCACGCACATTTTCATTAAATGCACACTACTACGAAAAAAAAAAGCCATCCTTATTATACATATAACTTATGATACAAAAGTTACTATGATACAAAAGTTTGCTATAAGTTTAAAATTGCCACTCATACCGATGTCCGAAATGTAAAGAAGTCAGTAGCTCATATAGCTACAATGTGTATTGTGTGAAAAATGGTTCCGCAAAGATGAGACAATAGGTATACACTTTCATGCGAATTCAACATGCTTCCAATATATCTACTCAGTTCCGGATGGTCTGTGATGTGCCAGCCAGTATGTTCTCATGAACTGCAAGTGCTTAGTAAATAACACATGCAGTAAACTCGAGATCAAAGAAGAAAGGGTACATGATGGTCGTTCAGGAATTATCAGCTAGTGTATGCTACATGCAATCACTCATTGTCTTGTTGGTTACTGCCTAAGGCTCTGAAGGTTATAGTAACAGCTCCAACACCTTAGATATGTAACGGTGGCTGTTAAATGTCACAAGAATACACATTGGACACAAATGGAATTGGATTACAAAGACATTCCGTTTCCAGTACTACAGGTACTGAATCGGTATAGATATGGGTAATGCAAGATTCATTCAGTCTGTCGAAATGGTACCCTCAAATAGGAATAAGACCATCATAGTTTACAGAAGAATAGAAAAAGTTGTTTGAGAAGACGGTTTCATGTTGAGTAGACAGTTTCGCGATGTTCTTGACACCTTTGCAGAACGAAGACGCCTATGACAATCAAAACAATGGGCGTGTTGCAGAATTCTTGTATGTTGTAGATGATGTCTAAACTTCTATCTAAAGACTGGATACAATACAATGCACCCAAATCCTTGAACTAGATTTCGTGGTATGGATATAAAATCAGTAAAATCCGTGCGTGCAAAATGTTTGTCTTTTTGTCAAGATAGCTAAATCCTTGACATCAGTGAATTTCTTCCTCGACTATGATATTATATTCACATCAGTGTGGCCGTATTTCGTCCAAACCCACCACCAGTTTCCCAGAAGAGTAATTAACTGTCTTGGTATGTCACCATTTTCTCGAAATGAAATTAAAAAATCTGCAATACGAGTCTATTTCTGGTCCAAGAATACTTGAGCTAGAAATAACTTGAAACTCCTCTACCACTGAAAACCAAGAGAATTCCAGCATTTAATAATAGATCTCTGTTCTCCTTTCTTAACCGCTTCCCTTACAAATTTTTTGAAAAAAATTGCAAAAAATCATCACTTTTTTTATTCTATTATTAAATGCAACAAAACGAAACAAATTAAAATATGTAGGTTTTAAGTTGAATTTTTAATTTTTTGAAGGTGTAAAAGCATTTATTTTTAATATTAGTTTACTATCCCGAGCTATCTCGGGCAAACGAAAATAGTTAAATATTAATCTTTGTATGATTGTTTTTGAAACAAGGGACAACACAGAGTGATACCTGACGTTCTACACTGGTATCTGGTCTCTTTTCTTACTGGCTTACCACATGAATCTCTTTCACGGGAGCACAGAGTACACTGTCTCGTTGGATTTGATTTTTTTTCCCTCACCTCTTCATAATCACTATCTGAAAAATCATCGCTTTCGCTATCTTGCATCATCGACATTATTTTATTTTTTTCCCAACGCATGCATCCTTCTTTATACATTACTAATCTACAAGCCAACGTATACTATACAATAGGGAAACACGCGACCAGTCCCTCCAAAAGAACCGCGCAACCAACAAAATTTGGCAAACTGCCAATCAAAGCTGAATATTTCCTTTCATTTCCTCCAGACCGAGTAAAACCGTGATAAAAGAAATCGTACTAACAAATTCTCGTGATAAAAGAAATCGTACTAACAAATTCTGCTTCGCCCGAGTTTTCTCGGGATAATAATTAACTGCAATATATACGAACCCGAGATAACTCGGGATAATCAGGCAAGCGGTTAAACCGCTTCTAGGTTTATGTAGAATTCATGCAATTTTGGGCCCTCTGAATGCATTTTCCCTTGCGATGCAATTTTAATGACCACCAGTCTGTCAATTGGTAATTTGTTGTCGGGATAAAGACATTTTGATTCCCTGAAGTTTTGCATTTTGGTAATAGTTGATGCAGCTTCAGTTGGTTCAAAGATTGATTATTGGAGCCGAAAGAATCCCAAGGTATTGCAAATAAAATATTACACATAACTCAGGTCGTAAAGCCTTCTTATTTGAAAGCACGATCAGAGTTTGATTTTAACTATTTTTAAGTTTTTCGTGTCTTGCCTATATTAGTGCTTCACTTGCGTGTCTTACTTAAATTTGAAAATTATACCTTGAAAACTAGAGAGCATAAATTCTAGAAAGGGTATAAAACGACAAAAAATATGAAATAATCCAAAAGATTAATAAAGGAAGAGGAGATTGAATGTCTAAGATAAATTCCCAGGTAATCAGACCGTAATATATATTTTTCGAAGAGTTTCAGAATTAGTATTTGTCAAACTTTTTCGAATTCGCTATATTTCTACCCCTCAAAGGTTTTCGTGTTACCTGTAGCATAATGTATCTCGAAACGGATGATAAAATGGCTAATACAACATGCTTTCCTTTCGCCACTATTTGTGTACGACATACATTCAGGAAAATGTAAAAATTATGAATATATTCATATCTGTAAAGGAAGCATAATCCGTTTAAACACTTTCCCGAACATCACATTGATTGAGTAGGATAGAAGAAAATTTCTTTTCAGATAGTCCCGTTTTCAATTGAAATATCTTCCAGATTAGAAGAATGCTAAATCATTCTCTGAGAAAAATTACATGCACTCATAGCTATAAATTGATTAGTTTTTCAGAGATTCATTATTGGAGGACAAAGTACTGAAAGGAAATGTTGACTTTTCTGTTTTGAACAGATTAATTTTTGTCTCATTTTTATTTATTTTACTACTTGCTCCACCATTAGGCACTACACTGATTAATTCTTGTCATAATCGATTTTTATTACTGTTGTCTTAACTCTTTACATTCTTTCCCATTTCGACATTTTTCTCTGTATCTGATATATGAATGCTTGCTTTTAACTAACTAAAAGATCTTATCACCTACAAAGTCGCAGAGCTTTACATTCTTTTTTGAAAGGCATTAAGGGTCTGCTCAGATTTAATAACTATTTGTTTAATAACTATTTGTTAACAAAACTTTAATTGTATTTTAATTTATTTTATCGATATGTATAACAGTTTATAACTTTCAACTATCTCTCGAGAATTTTCTTGGATTTCTTTAGACATGGTTTTGTTACTACCAAGAAATTAACTTTAAATCCTCCTCTACGATGCAGTATAACAAAAACCTATCCGATAATCACAACGATATTCTCATGATAATCATTGAGGTTAGCTGAGGCGCGTTGTCATGTCCATAGTCGCATGTAAAACACGCAAGCCTTTCTTTTATTCCAACCACTTACTTATAAACAGAATGTAAAGATAATAAAAACTAAATTGATTCTAAATTTTCTGTTGTGGAAGTGCTTCTTATTTATTAAAAAGGTCATCGCACATATTTATTTTTTGTAAAATAAAGCTTACTAATCATATTGGGAAAATACATTCAAACATCCTATAAATGTCGACATTTGATAAAATGGCCAAGGTTTTTGTGTCCAGAAAAATGGATTCAAGTTTGAAGTAAACAGACAACAGATCTTTTATCCCGGAATGACGCCCTTTACTCAAATTCTTCTTTACCCCACTGGGAAATAATCGATGATTTTTAGATATGTTCAGAAAATAGCGTCATCTTTCCTCTCCTTTTGGAATCAGAGCTTGGTAAGGATGCACATCGT